CAAGTCATTTTCGGCTAACTGAGTTTTAATTCGAGATTGTTGTGCTTATGTAATAACGTACAAAAAATAACAAGAAGGAAAAAATATGATCATAAGAGTTTGCACGATAATTAGTCGATCTTTATTAACGCAACTAGTCAATTTGAAAATAAGCGCACCCCAAACCGGTTTGATGATCAAATTTAAATTTGGAAGTTCTTATCAGTTATTTGTGCTGGTCAGGGACCTGCAAAAATTTGGATATCAAATCGAAAAAATTTATTTGAGCTATTGTCATTATTATTATTATCATCGAAGATTAATGCAAAGTAATTAGTTGAAGTATTAGAAGGTATACCGTATTTATTCGCCATGTGTACCCGGGGTACTTTCCTGGTTCATTTTAGTACCCAGGGTACTCATGTAGGGTATAAATACTGCTATGTTTTTAATATGTTTTACTATTATATGCCCGGGTATAAAAGTGTGATACCCAGCATAGCGGGCTTTTGCTGTAATTGGTTAATTTTTTGTAGATCAATTCGTGATCTTCTCGAATTTTATTGGTTAATAAAATTAGGTTTTGTGTAACATTATTAGTAATCAAGTTCATTGAATTTTGATAATACGATTATTAGATATTTTAGATATATATTTTATATTTTAGTAGCATAAGAAAAGCAATTAACAAAATGTCTTCACAAGAAAAGCACTATGAAGCTGGCTCTACTGAAAAAAAAGGAAAAAGAAAAGCTTGTTACTGTGATCTGGAGGGCTATGATAATATCATCTGCAATTATGATCAATATAGTGCCTCAACCATTACAGACGTCGTTATACCAGAATCAAGCCAACATTTAGATTTAGTTAACAAGGCCTTATGTCGAAAACACTATAATAAGTATATTGTAAATGCAAGAAAAAAGAAAACTAAACTAACTAGTGTTTGCTCTCATCCCAAACATAAAATTTATTTAGTTACGGCTAAAAAAACAGAAGGAAAGTTATTTGCAAAGACTCCAGAACGACTAATTAGTTTTTTCAGCCTACCAAAGAAAGCAATGATGTGCCATCATTGCTTATATAAAACAGATTCCGATCAAGAATACATCAATTTGCCCAATTATTTACAACCAAAAGAAAGAATTCCAAAAGAAAACATAAAACAATTTCAAGGTAGGTCATATGTTTTATGGAGAGATATTTTTTACTCTGAATCTGAATTTCAGGAATTGGAATCCACATACCATGAAGTTTGTGCGGAACTTGACGAAGCAAAACTAGGTTGGTTGATAGCTTTTATCAGTTAAAGTATTCATGTATTCTTGATTATTGTCTTTTTTTTTTTACACATTACTTTTTTTTTTTAGAGTTGATTCCTCTGAATAAGAAGATTAAGTTAATGGCAGGAGTTTTATATACAAGGCAACATGTATACAATGAAAAGCCTATTCTTGATCCTGAAGAGTTTAAAAAAATGATTGAGAAAGCTGAACCGTCGCTAAGAGGGTTCTTTGATTAATTGGTGGCTGGGATGAATTCACAAGCTAAGAGTCATATGACTAACGAAAAAAACAAAAAAAGACTGGTTTCATTTTGTTATTTTCTTACAGGTCTCAATAATAAATTTATCAATGCCGTTAAGGCGGAGGTTGGGCTTTTATTAGATGCTTCATCGGCGATTGAGACCTTAGCTGGTGCAGGTCTAACGGTGAGATGTGAAACTATTGCAAGACAGAAGGCCCGGCATGTACAAGCACATACAGAAACAGTTGGAGTATTTTTAACGGAGAATATAATAATTGTGATGGATTAAAATGAAATTGAATTAAAATGGAATATTGTACAATGTAAAAAATAGACAAGCCACCAAAAAATAAAAATTTTTGAGGTGCATTTTTTAGAGTTAGGGTAGGGTTAGAGGTTAGTTTTAGGGTAGAGTTTATGTTTAATAAGTATAAGAGGGTTTTAGAGAAATCTTTATTTTATTTTAATCTGATTTCATTATAATCTGCGACAGTAAATTTTTTTTTTTTGTGACAATTTTTTTTTTTTTTTTTTCTTTTCATAATTACTTATTATTTGTATTTTATTTTTTTCAGATTGAAAACTTGGTTGTTTTGAATGTAAATAATTTTCATAACATCTATGAATTTTGTCATAGCGATACAACGCATATGCATGATATTTCTCATTTTACCACGATACTCCTAAAAGCATTACCTGAAATACCATCAATTCCGTTTAATAATTCCAACCAAGAAAAGAGTATTCATAATATAATGGGTATTGATTCGAATATTATAATTGATAATGCTAACTTTCTTTTTTTTCCTCATTTATGGCTTAGTTATATGGGGCGAAAAAATGCATTAAATGATTTGTTTGTGCAAGAAACTCACGACGAATGAGTTGAACGTCTTCTTATTCATAGTTATGATGATAGAATTGAGCAACGCTAAACAGATCGAAGCATGGAAAATACAAGGCTTGTTGATTTAAAAGAAGGTTCTCTTCACTCGACCGAAGATTATGTAAATGCGTTGAAATCTTTAATCAATATTTCCGAGGTAGAAACTTATTTGAAAACACAAGTTTTAATAGCACCTATGGATTATCCTGGACAACTACATATATGGCGTGCCATCACTCATCTCCTTAAATCTCAAGATTCTTCTGGAATTCCGGAGCAGGTTTTACATATCATTCTAATGATTGGACCTTTGTATATATCCTTAAATAGTCGTGAGACAGTGTTTCTTTTAAATTATGATTTTTTTGATTTACTTTTTTATGCAGTCTTTGGTCGTAATAAGATTTTGGCAAAAAAGCCAAAACCTTATAAGATTAATTTAATTTTAGAAATAGCATATCAGGGATGGTCTCGGGTCTGTTCTATAGTGATGCAGAAATTCGAACATTCTAAAGATCCCGAAGTTCGATACCTTATTAATTTATTGGATAATGTTGTCTCATTGGTTTTAGAATTTTACTCATTATCTTTTGCAGCAGAAATTGGGAAGCATATATTGAAGCAATGTTTCGCGTTTGGTCCGTTTTTCATCAATATCAACGAAGACATTATAATAAATTACCAGTAATGTTTTTAAGTAATGTTTTTTACTGGTTCAATACTAATCACCCTATTTCACAAACTCTTTCACATTCAATTCACGTCTTTAACGATTATTATGTTGAGAATTTTCACAGCTCACTTCGTCGACAAATACATGCATCAAACACGGCAGATCAGATAAATCGAGAAGTACTAATAATCGATTAGACACATGGTAGCAATTCCTTTACAAATGTGTTCGCAGAAAGTCATAATATTAAATATTCACCTAAGCAGCTTGAATATCTTGAAAAACATACTTCACTTTTTTTACTAAATTTTTTTATTAGTGTTTACAGGAATATCAGTGGGTCAAAAGCCATTTCATCTGATACATGTTTGAAGCTAAAAGCATATGAATTCCAATGCTAAAAGCTCAAGTTGATATAGGTATAATGCCATTGGGTTGGAATACGGCACACATTCCACAAAATGATCAATTTTGTAACTTTGAAGATTGTGAGGATTCTAGTGAGGTAGGTTGCATTTTAATCTGTGGACTTTTTTATCATTTTGAATGTTTTTTATTTAATTTAGGAAGCCAATGTCGGTATTGTATTGACTACCTTGTGAGTGAAATTAAGAAGAACTGTAAGGCTTTTCAAAAAACCTTAGAATCATCGGGTGAAAAGGCAAAAATACAGAGTTCAGATAATAGTGAGGTTAATGAAGCCAGCAATGATACTAGTGATGAAAATTTTTTTTTAGATGCGAATGTAGATTGTAGTAATATAGATTCACTTGTTGAGAGGGTGATAAATTCTTTAGCAAATATGTAACTTAAATTGCTGTATAATTTATATTATTATTATTATTATTTATTATTATTTTTAAATAAATAAATTATCATGTTTCAATCATAATTCTTTATAATTATAATATTTATTGGTATCAATAAAAAAATAAAAAAATATATAATTTATTCATAAAATAATATTTTTACAAAAGATTCCTGCATTTTTACATTTTAAATTCTAACCCCACACCTTCGACACTACGTTACAAAATTAACACACCGCATTTATCACACACCTCTCTCATTTTTTAACATTCACTCTATCCTCAACGTACAAGATTTTAGGCTATCAATGTCTCTTTTACACCACTATTCACATTTCGACATTCATATCTTCAGTGCGTACCGACCTACTAACAAAAAAAAAAGCTTCAATACTCAATGTTAATTTATTTATAAACCATATCTTCGTTTACTATCAAAACTATACTTTTAAGTTGTACATTACTTGGTTTATTACTTGGTTTAATTTACGTTTAACTTGGAGGTGCTTCTTGCTGTTATGGGTTCTTTAAATTCTCTCGTTAATAACCATTTTGAAAGTAAATAAACGCTTTTCATCTAACTTCCAAATTACCTTGTAGATTGTTGAATTACTTTGTCAGTTTATAAAGCAAAGCATGAACTTTTGATTTTTTTTTGTCCTACCCTCTCGGAATTCATATTCGTGGCTCCGAATTCAATCTTGTAACAGAAAATCGTTACTTTAATAAGAATTTCCTATAATAAGATGATCTTCAAAAATCAGCCAATCATAATAAAGCCCGCTATGCTATAATACCCCATACTTATATACCCGGGTATAAATCAAAATTTTGGCTTCAAAATTATTGCAAGGTATAGTACATGGAGGTACACATGGCAGATAAATATAGTAGTTTGTATAGATATTTCATCAGTAATACTGTTAAATTCTTCACAGCATGTTCTAATTGTTTCTTCTTTTATATAATCAGACCAAAGATGCATTTTTTTGAGTCTTAAATCTAATAAAGTTGCTGTAAGGCCAGTATATAGTGTTTATATGAACCTAAACTAAAACCGAACTTTGGTCAAGTTCAGGTTTAGGTTCAGTTCAATTATGTTCAATATTGAACTTTTAAGTAAGATTCATGTTCAGTTCAGTTCAGTATTGAACTTTTAAGTCAAGTTCATATTCAGTTCAGGTTCAGTTCAAAGTTTATAAACATGTTCAAAGTTCAATAACAAAATATAGTAAAATTTTCGAATTTGAAATTTTTTAACTAGAACTTTGTCTTCGCAATTATATGTTTTCTTCTTTATATAAATAAAGAAGAAAGCATATAGTCATAAAGACTAAAACACTTATATCTCGTGATCTACTAGGTCAAAGTTAACAATTTAACCACCATTTTGATCACAAGACGCTTCTTTACAATATTAGTTAGAAGCTAAAAAGAGATTTACTGAGCAAACATTTAAAAATTACAATATTTCTATAATTTTATTAGTAAAATTATGGAAAATATTAAAATCCATAAAATTGTATTAATTAAATCTACTTTAAGAAGAGGTGTGGCGACTTAGTGTAGTGGTCTAGTTATTACCTTCTCCAAGTGGCAGGTCTAGAGTTCAAATCCCACAGATGACAAATTTTGAAAAATAGGCTTGCATTATGGTTAATAGTTATGATTATTGGTTGGATCTTAGATAAATCTGTAACTTCAGTCACACTATCTAGTAATGAGAGCAATGGCACAATAAAGCTGAGGAACCAGAATAACCGAAAACCCATTTGGGAAGTCTCGAGTTAAGGAATAGCGATGATTTACGACAGTATTACATGAGAGCTAAATTTAAACTGGGGCCTGAGATCGGAGAACCGAACGACTAGGTCCTAATGGCAGAGGACACATCAGCCAAACTGCCAGGTTCTGTCACACCGGAGAAAAAGGACATATGCTTCGAAAGTATGTACCAAGGGGAGGACGTCCTTCAGGCACCTAAAGCCTGGGCAGACCGACCCTGCCGAATTGCCGGCTAGAAGTAAGGGAGAGACCGATAAAGAATCCAGGTAAGAAGACAGTATCAAATATGGGTATTGGGGTTGTTGTGAACCTAAAATTAGAGCAGAAATAGGTAATTACAGAGGTTCAATAGTTAGCCCTGACTCCAAGTGCATGGGTAGAGCTGTGGCGACGATTACTGAAGTCTAGATAAATATATATATAGGACATGTGATATCTAGCAAAATGGAAATATCCCACCATCCAATGATTTGGAGGCACCCAAAGTCGGGATAAGCAAACTTCATAGTATGTATTGACCAATGGTAAGGTAAATAGGAGTTATGACGACTATACTGGGCTAAAAGGTTTGGTACATCTCATTTAAAGGGGTTCACGGGGATTTGAGAACTGTAACACCGCAGGGGGGGGAACCTGAGACATCTGCGGTTGTTGATAACTAATTAGGAAGGTTATAGCTTGAGATACAGACTGAGTTACAGCAGCACCCAAAAAAGCGGCTTGAGATATGAACTCGGTGATGGCAGCATAACAGGTACTAATTAGGTTAGAGATTACCAATGATGTATTGATTTTCTGTTGTAAAATAATGTGTTGTATAATGCATCTAAAAAAATGAGTAATAAAGAGGCAGTGTCATTAAAAAAAAAAAAAAAAAAAAAAAAATCTACCTTAAG